CAAGGCTGGCTGGGGAATTCTGGGAGTTGAAGTCCACACGTCTTAAAGCGGCCAACGTTGAGAAACCCTGGTCCAATTGGGTTCACCTTGCAATGATGAGAATAAACCTATTTTCTCCCTAAGTTGGGTGACTCTAGCCTTGGCATACTTGCGAATGGGTAGGTGGGGGGATCTTGGCCAGCAGCATCAGCTTTGCCTTCTTTCTGGCAAGCGTGCCGCAGAGAGCAAGTGGACCGTTTTATGCAGGTAACCCTATGCCACCTGAAGGTGTTCCTTTCCAGGGCGTAATGCACCCGGTCTGCCAATCTGTTGCAGTGCCGAAGGGAACGCCGAACCCGTCCTTGTTCTGGGTGTCTGTGGGCACGCGTACGTGGACCAGCTCTTCCGTGGCATTCCGGTCCTTCTGCACTTTTTAGCCAAAGCCCCCATACACGTGCATGCTGTGGGTAACTGGAGAAAAAAGACATTAGATGCTGTGATGGGAAATGGTATATTTGTGGAGCAAACAGCCACTGCTGTTTATTTTATTCTCCATTTTTTTGCATTGTGTTCCACCGCTGGTAACTAGGTGGAAGTCTGTGCAGTTTTTTTTAGCGACCTTGCTGATGTGGTTTGCTCGTAGTCCAGACATCTCTTGGAGGTCTCCCATCCATCCCACCACTAATCAGGCCTGATCCTGCTTTGCTTCTGAGCTCGGCCCAGATTAGGCAAACCCTGCCATCTGCGGGGGCTCCTTCTGGATTAGGTGCCTTTTCTATTTTGTTTGTGTTCAGGAACTGGAGGGCCCCATCCGGGCTTTGGGCAGGAGACTTGATGTCATCAAGCTGAATTGCCCCGTCGATTTTTTAAATTCGATTATTTCTCCTGCATGAAGTCAATGGGCGAACATTCGGGCATCAATTGAAGTTAAAAAACGAATAGGAACAACGCCTGCCCCGGTCAGCTTAGACTTAACCGCTTTCAAGCCATGTTCATTCATTGCCCGACGGAGAACCAGCCTTTCGACAGCGAGACCCAAAGCAGGATAAAGTCTCACCTTTCTAACAAGCACCGCGATCCTCATCATCCTGCAAACAGCTGGGAGGACCAGCGGGAAACCCTCCCGGCTGCCCCCTAGCGGCCGCGCGGCACCTCGCGCCGCCCCTCCGCGGAAGGCTCTGAAGGAGGCTCCCACTCAGCCTGCGCACCCGATCGCGCATGCCCAGAAGGGCGGCCCCTGGCGACCCCGGAACTGAATGTCGCGGCCGCCGCGGCGACGGCCAATGTTTTGGGGGCACCCGGGCCGGGGGGAGGAGGCAGGTGAGTCCCGATCGGGGGGCAGGCCCGAGACCCCGCCGGAAACGAGCCGCCCGGCTTGGCCCTGGGGGTGCGG